GGTCTCCATGAGGAAGCAGATCCCCGCTTGTGCGGTGACCTTCCAGAGGATCATCTTCGGCAGCCTGGGAGAAACCCGCTCCCGGCACTCCGACAGAGAACGGCGGCTGAGGCGGGATGCAGGATGATGACGATGTTCACGATCTTCCAGAACAAGGGCATTCCTTCCAGGCAAGAGAAGATGTCTAAGCCTCCCGTAGGAGGGTGTCGGTCTTGCGGTGTGCCTGCGATCTTCAGCTTAACAAAGTCGACCTCAGTCTTGCCCGCAATGGTCTTGGCATGGTCCTGCAAAGAAGACGGTCAAAATTGTCAGTGGTGCGTGCTCCTGCTGTCACCATAAGAATAGAACTGGGGCCCGGGGCCTCAACCGCTCGAGTTCGCAAACCCTGAATCCCACATCCTTTAAAGGAGCGTGAAAGCCAAATCCCTGAGTTCTCACTGCTTTTGAACAACGCTTCTCTGGTGCTCCTTGCTGGCCCAGCTCTCACCGGGAGGCTCGTAATCTATCCAGAGGTCCGCCTCGGGTCATAGAGGCCTATTCCGGCGGAATCTCTGACGTTTAGCCGAAGACTCGGTTGACGCTGACATAACGATACAAGGACACGGCTCGTGTGGGCACGTCTACCAGAACTCTGGCCATGTTGAACGTGCCAATCCTGGGATGCGGGAAGCAGGATGTTGGCAGAATCAACACATCCTTCAGCATCTTGCCGCCACATACTGTCTGCAGCAAAGCATCACGTCATCCAGCACACTGACAATGAAGAGCACGCAGCAGAGTAGGCGGCCTTGCCCAGAAGCTCGATGTGCCCACTTCGGGCTTGGGTGCTTCAACACAAGAAAGACATCCGTTTCCAGATCCATGGGCTTCAGGGTTTGAATTAGTCGCCGCAACTGCCAAGTCGCAATTTTTACTTTCGACGCCGTACTCTCCAGGATCCACATACCTGAATAAGCATGGAGCAGCAGTCAGGGTGTGAAATTTTGACAACCTCATACAACCTCCTTCCGGGAGTTGGAAACCAAGCCACTTTCCGATGTCAGCCGCCTTCTCAGGGAAAACTGCCTGTGTCAGCACTTGCTTCTGGGGACGACTGCTCAAGGGGCAAATGCCAGCGCACCCTCATGGAGTCTCTCGCAAAGGTTCGCGAGATCCACTGGTTCCAGCTGTAGTACCTGGTGCGGGAAAATTCGCAGTCTCCTCTTCAACTCTTCAACACTGCATGTGGGCGGGCCTCATCGAAGTGAAGACGGTACCGCCGGGGCCAATGCAGTTGGGCCCATCGGGGCAAGCTGCGCGATGCGAAAGCGAATCACACTGCCACTTCGTGGAAGCAGATGTCCTACAAGACTTCTCCTGATCTGACAGTCTGAGCTGGCCACAAGCAGAATCTGTACCAAAGTCACCTCACGGTCACAGCTCTGAAGGCTGGAGGCCCGTGCTTGCCACCCACGAAATTGCCAGTGCCCATCAAGAACTTGTGCTGCGTGGTCCCGTCTACGAAAAACTTTCAGGCAAAGCACAGAGGAACATTTGACCGGAGAAGAGATCCCAGATCATCTCTTCCTGACTCAGCAGACTTAGCATGCATCGCCAGGCCAAGAAAAGGAGCATAGCTTCAGGATATTTCTCGTGGGATTCGTCGCCGCCGCGCCTTTGCGATCATGTACAGAATGGCAAACTGCGCCACGTAGTTGAGAAGCCTGTGCTGCAAGATGGTGCCCGCAAAGCCCAGTTGACACAATGTGCCAGGTGCCAGGCAGTAAGAAATAGGACTTGATCACGAGCACCTGGAACAGGGCCCTGGATATCTCTGAGAACTAAACTGAACTGTTGGCAAGAACACGATTCTTTTTTTCACGGAAGCTCATCCACAGCTCTTAGCAGGGGCACCGTCAGCTCTTTCGGCCAGCCCGCGGATCTCGCGAGTTGTGGCCTCGGTCATCAGGGCAATCGCCAGAAGGAGTCCTGCCTTCCGCCTCTTTGGGCTCTTTGCAAGACGAAGGCCGAGCCGTAGAGCGACTGGTCCAAGTGCACTTGAGAGGGCTCCTGGGTCAGTTTCCGCTCACGAGCCAGCAACGATGCAGACACCAGAAAGACCATCCCTCACCAAATATGAATAAGATGACAATTGAAAAGTCTACTTTGTGTGTGGTTTGGAAGCGGCTCTCATCGCTCTAAACTCTGCAGCCCAGCGTGGCTGCACGGAGTGTACAGCTGTGGGGATCGCGGCCTTCGCTTTCAGGGTGCCCATCATCTTGGCCGCGGTCACCCGGGCACGGTATTCCTTAGCCGGCAAGCAGCGAACCGTTGGCGGCCAAAGCACGCAGGCCCAGTTGCGAACACCGCTCGACACAGTCAGCCCCTGCAAACCCGTCCAGCGGCTGGCGATCTGAAGTCCACATTGCTCGTACGATCCTGGGGCGGACACTATGCAACACAGGTAGGTGACGGCGTAGCCACGCATGGAAAAACCATAGAACAGTACATGACGTAGCCGGATGGATAGCCAGCTGTTGTGTGTGCTGACAGAGCAGGTTCCACGATCTGGCGGATGGTTTTCAGATTTCACGGCAAGATCTCCTAGTCAACCGAAATCCTACACATTCGAGTCGTCTCCCCGTCTTCCACGGCGGAAATAGCTCTGCGAATTGTGTAAGGCACTGGCTCCTTCCAGGGAAGCCGGAGGCCGTCGCACCACCCGAGACGGGGACCACCTCAATTGTCACAGCAGGTCATCCTTCCCCTAAGAATCGCAATGAATCTGATGTTGTACGTGTGCCCAAAGAGTCATAGGTCTCCAATACTCAAATAAGCGCATTGGCTACCTCGACATGCCATGCGTCGCTTGACCCGGCTCCCCATCCTTTGACTGCCCTGGTTGTAAACACGAGTTTCGGAAGATCTGTGGATTTTGCTGGTTAGTGCCTGTACTCCTGTGCCCTCCTTCCCACTTGGCCTGGTCTGCCTATCGTCTTGAAACTCCCGCTGCCACTGCCATAGTGCACTCCACGTCCACCGCTGCCCTTGTCACAACGACCACCGGTCCCACTGCTGCTGCGTCACTGCTGCTGCAACTCTTCCAACTCTCCCCCCGGGCCCTCCCCAATCTAAGTCAGTAACTCTAACTCTAAGGTATTCTAAAGTGATCTTAAAGACCAAACTCCGGCAGACGGCCTGGGTCGCTCTGTGACAACGCCTGTCTGGACATACTGGTCCACGGTCACAGTGCTGGGCACCTGCTCTGCCATGAGTTCCCACGAATTTGCGCGCGCGCGCTCAACGCGTGTACGCATCGATGACTCTAGTACGCTCTGACGGCTTCGGAAGCTCGCAGAACCGAGAAGTACCGTCTCTGCCGAAAGAGATACAAGGTGCAGTAACCCCGGAGCCGGTTCAAGTTCCGCAGGGCCTTGCTGTACCTCGTCCGCAACCCCTGCAGCCAAGACCACCTGGCCGAAGCAAGCAAATTTTGAAATGGTGTCTTTGGGGGGGGGGATGTGCCCCGAGGACCCGACCAGCCGAGCTTCTCCCGCGGCCTGGCACGGGTCTCTAAACGGCACCATGAAGCCACTGCGACTTTGGCGATGGCGTCCAACACTTGGCTATACCACAAAGGGCCCTGCCTTGGCATCGGGGCCCACGGGGCCCACGGCCCAAACGCAGCGATCAACAAGCGCACGGGTTGCACTGCGATTCCAAGGGCGATTGCAATGTGTTGAGCACGGGCTGTTTCCAGTGGATCTTCGTGCTAGGTGTCCGGATGATTGCCGGACTAGAGTGGAAGTCCAATCAAGGTGCAGGGTTCGGTTCGGGTACGCGGTTTTGCAAGGCTGTCATGCAATCCCCCCTGGCAAGGTTGGGATGCTCAGATTGGAAGGATCAGGCTGCCTTGATCTTCAGACATGACGTCAAGGCTTGCTTGTCGCAGGTCTCGGTGTAGTTCAGCTTGAGCCTTGGGGAAACATCTAGGGGCTCCTCTTTCGGATTGCATGTGTCTAGCGCTGGCATCGAAGCCAGAAGCTGCGGGACAGCACGTTGCTTGTTGCAGGGATCCATGCGACTTGCTCGAGTGCTCTAACACGTTGTCTTTATGCGATGCTTTGGCGATATTTGGGTTGTAGTTGGGCCTTCATTCGAGGCCTCATTGGTGCCTTACTTGGGCCTTGAGTTGCACCTTAGTTGAGCCTTATTTGCCTTCATCTGGCTCTTACTTGGGCCAACTCTTGCATGCATGTTCGGGTTTAGGGAGAGCAGGAAGGGCACAAAATTATCATTATCGGTTCCGTCATGGTCAACGTGCATCCTCGCTTGCTGACAACATGCACTGCCAATCACCGGTGCCAATTAGAGAGATTAAATATGTCAAGAGCTATGCCGACTACACCCTCGAGGACAATGCGACAACAACAACAACAACAACAACAACAAGAGGATCAAGAAGAGTGAGAATCAGAGGAAGAAAGCACCGACGCCAACAGCAACGGCCGGCACCAGCACTAGCAGCAGCAGCAGCACCACCACCACCACCAGGGACCGAATAAAGGCCAAGCAGAAGCCAACGTTGGCCCCGATAAAAGCCAAGGCCAGGCCAGGTGAAGGCAAAATCCAGACCCAGATGTGGCCTTCAGCTGCCCAAATCCTTGCCACCAAATAACATGTTCCAAAGCTCGGTGACCTGTAGGCATCCGCGTGCGTCCCGCAGCAGAAGAGCCTCTTTCACACTCGTGCTTGCGTTCCTGCAACAGATTTCGTTGCCCGGCTCGCAAGGATGCATTATCCGAGGGACAAGCCAGCTTCCACCGCAAACGTCTGCGCGGATGAGACTTACACTTACAACTTTAAATAAGAAAGTCCACACCGACACCTTCCTATATGTCCGAGCACGAAGAGCAGAAGTACATGGCGGTCGCGGCTCGAAAGGGGCCCTCTCGCCCGTCCATTAGCAGAGGCGGCGCTTCTTGCACCACCAGTTGTTCGACACTGGCGAGAGGCGCAGCTCAGTCCTCTCGTCGAACCTGCAAGGGAGGAGCAACCCGTAACCCCCAGCAGCCCAGCGACAGCCTAGATGCCCCGCTTTTGCGGCTAGTGAGCCTAGTGACCTGTTGCCGACCCCTGCACAAGATCGTCTTAGCGTGCTCCAGCGATAAAATCATTGGCCTCATCTCCATCCTGGCAGGAGGCAAGCAAACAAGCGGATCAGGAACAGGTGATATTTATTTGCAGACACGATCCTCGTCGTCGGACTTCCTGGCGAGGTTGCGCCGAATCGGATCCACAGTCCAAAGATAGCAAAGGCTGCTTGCACATGCTTGCACCTGGTGGATCGGACGATCTCCTTCAGCAGTCCTTGGGGCGTGTTATACCTCGGCGATAGTAAGACACGCCGAATCGAGCACTTCAATGCCCTGGCAAACTAGTACGGCTGCAGGCAGCTTGACACAAAGCCCTGGGTCTCCTGCCCGTTGGTCTTGGCGAAGGGATTGTCTAAAACCTGCAACAGGGGTGCCACGTGCCTGATCCGGCCTCCTCCGCGAGATGCGCCGCTCAATTCCGACACCCGTGCCTTGAAGGTTCGGATGCGACGAGGCTGAACCGCCTCATCGTGACTGCACATCCACTGAGCATGCGAGACAGCATCAAGAGCAACCACCCGTCCCACAGAGGCCGCCGCAGTGTCCTCCTCCTCACAACGCGGTTCAAACGGTCACTGCACTCGTGCCTTGAAATGAAGCAAAACCGAACCAAACCCTGGGCCCGCCGCCGACCGCAATCCTTACAGATGTCACTGGATCAAACAAGAACGAGCTGTGGTGTTCGCCGCGCCTGCTTGCGGACCCACAGCCATGGCCTTCTCCACGACAGCCTTCGTCCCGGTGAGGACCTATGTGCAAGAAGAAACACAAAGCGCACGACTCATGACTCATGCCTGAATGATTTAGACCGACAGAGCGAATACCCTCTTCATCTTGCTTTGCCTGACAATGTTATTCATCCACATTCGATAAACTGATGTAAACATCTAAACTAAGCACAAGGCCACGTAACCTTGACCGCTCAAACTTGTTCCGGACCCGAACTACAGTATCGAGGAACGGTGCAGCCTAAACACTGCAGTCGGAAACTCCTCAAAGCTGATCGCAAATCACTCTCGGCTGATGCGAGTATACGGCGAGAGCAAGTGCTTGCATTCACCACTGCGACTGGGCTGCGCGAACACTACGGTGTGAGGCCGTGCTTCTTGATTTGGAACAGAAGGGCCCTCCCATTCTACCCTGCCGAAATCGGCGATACGCAGCAGTAGTCAAGTTCGACGCCAAAACGAACTGGCAGGATAGGGAACTTCACCAGCTGCAAAGCTGACAGCGCTCTGTGTGCATCTTCGGGCCTTAAGCCTTGTGAGGCTTGAACTCATCTAGGGTCGTTTTTCGCTGTGGTGCGGTGAGCTGTTTGAAGCTATGTCGGCATCCACGGAACCAGTGCTTCAACGGTCCAGTCAGCATGGGTTCACGTAGGGCAAGCTGCCTGGTCCCAGCTCAGCCGACATGTGCAGCGGATCGTCTTCAAACACATGCAGTGGCATCAAAATATTGTCGGAAGATGGTGTCTTGCCGACTGATAAGAGAGTTTTGGCTTCGGCCTGTGTGCTGCTAAACTTTGCCCCCGGGAAGCTTCGGCTGAGCGTCAGCCCAACGAACTGATCAGAACTTTCCTTCGTCCCCAAGCACTATGCACGAGCCTCCACCTACTTCGAGCTTTATGCTTGGCGGGCTCATTGTCGTCCTAGTCCTATCTGGCCTCGCTCAGACTTTGCACAACTCGTCAGTGCCTCTGTACTGTGACATACTGTGACACACTGCCTCTCTATCTCGGGGTGTTTAGCTTCCCTTCTGCGAGTGCGCTGATGCTCGGCAAGAACTGGCTTGCGGTTTGTCGGGCATCGAGCTTAGTCGTTGCTGCCAGATTCAGATCACTCTCCAGTACTTGTAGCATCTTGCAGCAGTAGCGGTAGCAGAAGCAGGGGCAGGAGCAGCAGCAGCAGCAGCAGCAGCAGCAGCAGCAGCCGTTACAGCGGTTGCAGCTGTAGCTGTCGCGTTGTAGCAGTCAGCAGCTCCCCTTGTCCACGCGCACAGGCAACGCAACGACTTGGCTCGGGATCTCTTAAAGAGCTCAGCGCTTCTCCGGTAAGCACCGTGACCCCGGCCCAGGTGTTCTCGCGCTTCAGCAGCGTGTGCTGTCGGAGCCGTTCCAGGATCTAGCCAGGCAAGACAGACATAGACAGACAGGCTGAGGATTTGGGGAGAATGGCACAGCTCCAGGTGGAATGGCAAAGTGAGCGCAGCCCACCTCGGCCACTTGGAGCTCGTGGCCGTCTTCATTGGGCTTCCAGACGGTCTCCAACTGAGATGTCCGTTCGATCGCTGTCACTGTAGCGTGAGTTCAAATCGCTTTGGGATAATGCACTTCTCTCCTAGAGTCCTAGAGGTCAGGGACACAAGACGATCCTCAGCCAAGGAAACATTATGAACCCTGCTAAAGGCCGTGTTCAGTCTGCTTGTTTAGCCTGCAGGCGATTCTGCACATAGAACACATCTTCTAGGCAAACGGACACGAAAGCCTCATGGACACACATCACACTACATACCCTCAGCATGTCCACTTGAGAACTAAGCCATGTCTATAAACCTTTCTGTATGAAAGTCATGAGAAGCAACAGCCACACAACAGCACCTGTCGCACAAGCCAGAAACAGATTCAAAATACACAGCAAAAAAATGCATAGATTGTGGTCATTTGTTCCGTCCCGACATGAACTGACCCGATGTTATCAGACGGAAGTGCTTGCATTTTGCTTGTGCTCTCGCCCTGCTTCTTGAGGGTGAAGTCTCATGAGCTTGCGCCCAATGGGATCGTATGCGCGACCCGAAAAGCTGCAGCCTCGGACAGCTACAGGCCAAGTTATGGCGCTGTACTATGAGAGCTTCACTCCCACGTCCAAAACTGTAAGTGCTCCACACTCCACACGATGAATTAATGCTGGCTGACAAGTCTCAGGCGATTTTGCCTAGACCGTCTTCTCAACTTCGTTCCCGACAGGGCTTGCAGCGGATCCTGTGCCGATGGCATAGGCCTTCGGTGGCGAGTGCTGTTTGACATCCATGCCGACCTCCTCCGTGTACTCGTCGATCCGCAGCAACCCGGTCATCTTCAGGGCAAAGAAAGCCAGACCCGACAGCGTTCCTGCCCAAAGGATGATCACGAGGACCATGATGAGCTGTGCAGCGATGGCAGTGCCACCGATGCCTGTCATGCACGTTGAGTCAGTGTCGCTCACTGGCTTGCACCCGAAGCCTGACCAACCGTGATAGTGGTCAAAGCCTTTGCCCCAGTCAAAGAGCCCGGCTGCGAGAGCGCCCCAGATGCCGCAGAAGCCGTGCACAGGGCTGGCATCCACCGGGTCATCGATCTTCAGCTTCTGCAACAGCATGGACGAGCCCTGGTACACGAGGCCACCAAGCAAGCCGATGGCGACGGCACTGCCGCACTCCACGTTGCCACACCCAGCAGTGATGGACACAAGGCCAGCCAAAATGCCATTGCAGAGACCACCCACATCGTACTTCTTCATGATGGCATAGCGCAGCAAAAAGACAGTGATGCCGCCGGTGGCAGCGGACAGGGTTGTGTTCATGGCCACTTGCGCTGCCATCGCGCCTGTGTCTCCGGTGTGCATGCCCAGCGTGGAGCCCGGGTTGAAGCCATACCATCCGAACCAGAGTGCAAAGGTGCCCAGCACCACCAGGGGCAAGTTGTGGCACTCGAACTCCTCCGGGTTCTCGAAGCGACCTTTCCGAGGGCCAAGCACAACGGTGCCTGCCAGGGCGCTCACGCCGCCCGTCAAATGCACGATGGCACTTCCCGCAAAGTCCATGTAGCCTTAGGATTGACGAGGCTGCTGACAACCTAACGAGTCGCACACTGCACACAATTCAGCACAGCAAAGTCTGCGGCTGCTTGCATGCATATCGCACAAAGAACCCCTCCCAAGAAGAATCAAAATAACTTCAATCCCAAAGCAAACACGGCCCGGCAGCCCACGTCCAACACTGAGTCCAACCAGCCATAACCCCACGTCCATGCGACCACAACCGGGTAAATGAAACTGGTCATGCAGAATGCATACACCGCGTACGTGGGGCTCTTCACTCGCTCGGCCACGCCACCACTCACAATGGTAGCGCCGGCCGTACAGAATGCCCACCTGGTTTTTCTTGTACTTGTGAAGGCGCTTAATCAATGAACAGGTACAAGTATGAAAATGCATAGTCTGCTCATTCATGGCGGAAAGTTCAAACGACTTCCTTTAGCAGAACCCAGCCACTGAAAAAACCAGCTCAGCATCTTGCTCTGGCATCCGTCCGCATCGCACGATGCGAGGGGCGTGATAACATCCGTGTCCGCAACTTTGGTATACAATCCCACGCCGAAGAACTCAGACGTTCCGATAAACCCGTTGGCCGGATCACCCTGGCTGCCGTAGGCAAAGGCCCAGCCAAAGGCCCACCAGCCCAATGTGCCTACTGTAACATTCCTTAGCAGCTGACGTGTGTTTAACGTCAGGAATGCAGCGCTTTCTGCTTAAGCTTCATATTAATGCAAAAAAGACTTCTGGCCTAGCTTCACCAGGTTCTTCATGAGGACGTTGGACGCGTTCTTTGCGCGGCAGCTGCCCGTCTCCAACATGGCGAAGCCTATACTGAACTTAGAACCCTAGCAAAAATTATCATTTTGGCTGCTTCGTAGGGATTATAATAACCAAAAATCAAAAATTATTTCTAAGTATCCCTAAGAAGCCGGCATGCATGAACATGACAAGAGCACCACAGAGACACAGCCAAGCGGAGTCCATCGCACCGCCAAGGCTGTACTGCGTGTTCTTCAGTTCCTGGACCTGGCGAGTGCAGCTTGCACCCTCTCCCAGATCTGGAATCGATGCAAGGCTGCAAGTGCCGCGCCTGCGTGTCGAAGTCAGCCGTGCTCACGTAGCCCACCTGAAGCCTCCGATCCTCGACCAGGGAATCGTAGCGCTGCTGCTGCTCCTGCACAGCACACGAAAGGAAGAAAGTCACTTGAAAGTAGAAGGTGGCACCTCAATCAGAACTCGCTGCGCAAGAACTTCCGCTCGGAGTGCTTCCAACTCTTCCACCAGAGCATTGTTCTGCCCGGCGGCCAGGGGCACCAAGGCCTCAGCAGTCTTCCTAATTATCATCGAAGACTATCAGGGCATCTCACAAAACTTCAAAGGCATGCCAAGAGGAGGGCCGCAAAACCCACTGCTATGCGTGCCATCATCTCTCGAGCGGACAACCGACTACTCCCCCACAAAAACCACCAGCAATTGCCTTCGAGCCAAACGCGCACGAAGGCACACATGAACCAACACATGCCGGCCCGAGGTTTGATCTGGTCAGTTCGAGATTGCACAGTGGGGCATCAGTTTTGCTCCGCTTGTTCCTTGTTGCTGCTACGCTGTCATGATGTTCACACGAGGGGACAAAAGCACCAGCAGGGGTGCTTGAACATGCCTGCGCTTTCTCCGGCATAGTTACAGTTGCGCTTGTAGCGCCTTTGAGTGCCGGGCCATGGACAATGTACGAGTGTCCTCAGCGAGAGACGGCGAGATGACACAGCGGAGGTGACACAAGTGATCTCGGACCCTCTTGGGTGTAAGCAGGAAGGCCCATTTCCTGGAGAGTCTGCGATGTCGCCTCCCGACAACTCTCCGGTCGCAAACCAAGACTCAGCAGCTCATCCGCTTCTCGTCGCCTCTCTGGTGATGAGCATGAAGGTATCCAGGCGACCGGAGAGGTTCACCTCATCGTCTGCGCAGCAAAGCAAGGCTTCAACAAGGCGAAGCGTGCTGTCTCCATATGCTTTGGGCATGGCTCGTGTCTCGCCACCCGCAGCCCTGTGCCGCACAAACGCGAGCGGGAGAGCGCGGCGCAGCTGCTCTCCGACTCTCCGACCTGATCAAGTTCTGCGAAATCTCTGCCGTGAACTCCAGCACCTGGAACGGGCCATGTGCCCGTTGCACCGCAGAGCATTAGGGCATTCGGAATACTGAATGGCAGCACTGCGACAGCAAAGACAAAACTGTATGCAACCGCCAGTTCCTGCCTCATGCAGGTGCTGCCGGCGCATCTCCTCGATGAGGGGACTCTGTGTACCATCCGCCGTCGCCTCAAAAGCTCATGCAACGCCGAGCTCGATTGGGAGCTACCTGGGGCAGAAGCCGAGAAAAGGTCGCTGACGTACCTTGAAAAGTGCACATGTGGTTCAGGCTTGCAGTCGGGCTCAGAGCTTAAGACTCTCCTGCAGGATCTCACGAGTCGATGTCGAGTCTACGTCTACACGCTTCAGGCTCAATGGCTGCGCAGGCAGCGGCTGCCGATTGATTCCGAGAACATCGCGAGGAACCTTCGATCCGACGGTGCTAAAGGCTAAGTGCTCGCACGCGGTGTCAGGGCTTGCAGATCGGCCGGCATCGAAGAGCATCTGCAGGGTGACATGCAGCGCCTGGCCAGGCAATCTGAGAGACTTGCTGGGCGGCGGAAAGCCGCGGAGGTCCCCCGACACGCATCAAGGCGTTCATGCGCTCGACGCTTTTCTCGGGGAACATGGCCTGCGGCGAGCTGTGGCGTTTGACAGGCAGCTCGCATCCCTTCCGGGCTTCTGGCTTGCATCACTGCGCGCATCATGCGCCGCGACACCTGACATGCGCAAAAAGCAACTAAGCAGCAGGGCCCGGCCCCAGAGACGCTCCGTAGCCTGGTCTCGCCCAGAGGCCTTGGTCCCAGTCAGCGTGCTCCTGACGATTGCCCACGCCCACACACACAGGTGCCCTGAATGCTCGCTCTTGCGTTGCCTCTGCCGCCCGTGGCTCGCTCCCTCGAAGTTGCCTGCCGACGCCAGCAACGTGATGCGCCGCTGCCTGGATGGGATCTCGCAGGCCGGCCGTCGGCGCAGTTGTGGACCAGGTTCTGCAGCTCCTTGAGCATGGTCTCCTGGTCCTGACGTGACGGCCGGCTTTCTCGTCTTCTGTCGACGACGACTCCCTAGAGACCTGACCTGCATGATGGACGGATGCACGGCGCCGGCCAGCATCAAGTCGAACCTGCCAGGATCAGCCGTGGACTAGGCGGCCTCACGCGGTTCCCGGCAACGAAGCAGGCAGGGCATTTCGAAGTCCGGGTCATCCCTGTAGGCCTGCCAGATGAGAGACGGCTTTGGTTTCTTGCAATGTGTACGTAACATTTTGTTCTTTGAATTAGCGATGGAGCCTGTCGTGAACTCAAAAACAGCTCTGCAGCAACAAGCTGCCGTTCCAAGACGATCGAATGCTGGGCCGGCCTCGAGGCTGCAGATGAAGGCATAAGCGAACTCGGTCAACTCCTCCGGATCCGTGAACTGCCTGGCATCTCGCAATTTTCAGCATGACACAAGCAGAAGGGCTCTCTCGGAGGTCCCGACCGTTGCATGTGTTGGTAGAGCTCCGTGTGCATGGTCTGCGTGCTCAGATCCGGCGGGGCCTCTGAGCCGGGGCCCAAAGGGGCGCAGTGCCCCGTGCGCAAAAGCCCGGCCCCGGCCGGGGGCCTCGGCGAGGAAGCTCTCGATCAGATCCTCGCACTCCTTCTTCGAGATGTATCGATGCCGCACCAAGCCCTGCGAACTTTTTCAGAAAACACAGCTAAGGAAAGCTCACGGCAAAAGCTCCACGCCTCCGCCCTCAGGTAGGGAGGCACGCCGTCGTCCGCTCCAAGCCTGTCAAGCTTGAAGCCCCCTTCAAGGCCCGCGAGGCACAGTCTGCAGCACCGCGCCCTGCAAAGCTGCGCTTGTCGCTCATGGAGTAGACCTTGAACGTCTCAAGTGTCTCATGCTGACGGCTTTGTCTGAAGAATAGCCATCTTCTGTACACTGTACATGGTTCTGCATGTTGGCACACGGTTGTTCACACTGGGCTGCTTCGCCTGCCGGTGGATGGCCGCATCCTCATCGTACGCATCTGCCACATCCTGGAGCATCATTCCCTCTGGTGCATGGAGGCAGAGCGACAAGACTGGCCTGCATCGCACTCTCGTTCCAGATGGGCACGAGCTGCTTCACATCCTCCAGAAGGTATCGGAGCTTCACCACCTGACGGCGATGCGGAAGCACATGGAAGACTTTGCTAAAGTCGAAGGATGGCCGGGCCACGCCCGGCCCGCGCCTGCTCTTTGAGCTTCTCCGCATCGCGGTGGGCCCCACGGAGCGCCTCCATCACGGCTTCCAGCTTGATCTGAGCGGTGGGGGACTGGCTTCGACTCTGGTGATCCGCTTCGGAGTCCCCTTGGTGCCAGGCCGAAGTCTTGCGCTCCTTCGTAAGGCTGCTGGGCAGTCGGCCCTCGGCAAAGGAATCCCACGGAGCATCAGAGCAGTGGCTTTCAGCGCCCGGTCTCTGACGACGATCTCTTCCAGGCTCCTTCCAAGGACCTCAGACAGCGCTTTCTCAAAAGAATCTCAACTTCGAGAGTTTATGGGAGCTGCCGCCTGAGAACCTGAGAAGTGAGCCTCTACCGACACACGTTCCGCGAAGGCCACACCAAGGAGCCCCTCCGAGGAGATGTTGATTGAAGCTTCGATGCGGGTACCACTTTATGCATGCTGGCATGAAGCCCTTCTCGCGGCGGCCTCCTGGTGCTCGTAGTACCTCTGGAAGTGAAGGTTTCAGGACTTCCGGGATCAATCAGCGATGTTTTGCCTATGCCAGGCCCGCAGGGGCACTGGAGTTTGTCAGTCAGAACCGGCAGCTGCTCCACCGCCGCAGCTTGACGTTCGAGCTCCTCCCTTGCCTCTGCAAAAGATCGATCAAACCATTCAAAAGTCTGGCTCAAAACCCTTACAGTCCAGTCCAGACCCTGCAATCGAGCGCCCCAGCTCCCAAGACGAGCAAATGACCCCAAGCTGCCCATCACACTGCGGCGGGATCATGTTTGGCACCCCAAATCGCGCGCACCGCACATGGGCCAGGGAGCACCAGTCCCACATCCAACAGTGCGCTGGACTGTGGCCAAAGCACGAATGTTGAAGGCGCGAAAGCACTTCAAGATCACAGCAATGAGGACTTGATCGAGCGACTTGAAGACAAAGATGAGCACGGGACGGTGGCAGGAGCACGATGTCTAAGTCTACGCTACTCAACTCTACTCCAAAACGCACGGCGAGGTGTTGGAATTTACCATCGGCATCCCGCGGAGGACGGTGCCCGAGCGGGGCTGTGGAACACGGTCATCATCCCCAAAGTGCGCATCTCGCCACAGCCACCGCCAGGTGTGCTTGCCGAACAGAGGGATTTGTATAATCTTTGCCCTTGGCGCAAGAACCGCAAACAATGCAAGGAAGTATTCGAGAGTACAGCGGAAGCTGCCACGTTGTAAAGTAGACTCCTCCAACAGACAGGACCCAAAGCAGTGCCTTGAGCAGCTTCTCCTCCAAATTCTGCGTCCTGCAAAGGCACAGAGATGTCTTCACTGAGAAACCTAGCCAGCAATCAGTGTGCGAGATTGCGCAAGCTTCCACGACCCCGGCGGTCTCTTGGGTCAACAAGGTCACTTGATTCCGGAGGTCTTGGATGGCGATATCCTGCCACATCGCTGTGCAACAAAATCATTCGACGTGAACCGAGGAGCATGCTGTGGCTTTTACACATGGCTCCACCACCTTCTCTCTGCACAGGACGTTGAGGGAGCTCAAGTCCGCCTTGATCGTGGCCTCGCGGTACCTGTACAGTGTCCGACAGTCCGACGAGAGTCCCCTGCCGGCTTGCAGAAGGCACTGCATGTCCGAGTAGTCGATGAGGGCCAGCTTCGTCTGCTGCTTGAAGGTTTCGTACATCTGGCAGATACAGCACACAGCAAAGAGAAAGAGTCCAAGCTGCAAGCTTGTGCCGCAAAATCCGCAAAGACTTGCTTCGCCCCTTCGCTTCTCAGACTCTCGGAGTCGCCTCCTCGGCTTCCTGACAACCCCGCTTCGCGAGCTGCATCTCGGCCTTGGCCTTGTCCCTCTCGTCCTCGCCGTGCCGTGGGCCGCGGTGGGTGGGCCGCGGTGGGTCGCGCTTCACGGTGTTTTCGCATCGCGGTGTTGTATGGCTCGGGGCCGCAAGGCCTCCAGCCGGCGAATGCGGACACGCAGGTCCTTTGCACCGGGCCCCCGGTCCCCAAGTCTCTTACGAGCTCAGCCTCGCCTCGAAAGCTTTCGACTTGGACTTCGCCAAGGCTGACCTGACGACGCAGAAGCGGGTGGCTTTGAGTGCCTGCTCTTGCTCTGACTCTGAGGTGAGGACGCTTCCTGCTCGCGCTCCTCCAGGATTTTCTGGGCCGCCTTCGACTCCTCCAGGCCCGCCTTCAGAGCTGCGCATCCCAACGCAAGAAAAAAACACAGAAAAAAAAGAAAAGAGGCCCGCCGCTCCGCCACCAACACAACAGAAAACCTTCTGGGGCAGCAGCGCGGTAGCCAGAGACGAGCTGCGCGTAGGTGCTGAGCTGGCCTAAGCACTTCGACTCTCAAAGTGCGAGGTGAGCCGACACTGCCAAGAGGGGCCCCGAGCCGAGCCGTTCGGGCCAGAGCTCATCCTCCCTGAGATCCTGCAAGCATGGAACATCGGGACGCACTGAGGCACCTAAGATCCCTAAACCCGCCACATATCCGCCAAACCTAAAGCCTAATCAATGTCTCTGTGCACATGAAAGGCTGTCCTGCAGGGACGGCAAGGTCCTGGGCCACTCACCTCGATACGAACAGAACTGGCTACGATCGCGGACGGAAATGTCAAAGCCAAAGCCGCTCCGTGCAAGAGGTTCCTCGATCCGACATCCCTTCGGGTAAGCAGGCCGGGCTGGCAGAAGATGGCTTCCATCAGCTCCTGCGCTTGTAATCCATGTAGCACGTGTGCCTCGACCCGAAACCCAAAATTCCCCTAATTGCCTGCAGCAGCGGCTCAAGCATCGTCCGCAGCGCGAAGCCCCGGGGTAGGGCCCGAACTACCCGAAGCATCCTGGCAAGTGCTCGTTCGCGGAGGCTCAGTTTCACAGCGCAGATGGCACCGGTGATGGATGAGAAAAGACTTAGTGTTGTAAACTTGAACTTCGACCAACTGCCAGGATGACAGGGATGCCGCTTCCGCAGTTGTTGAGAAGTCCTTTGGTGGTACCTGTCAAATGCGACGATGCCGCGAAGGCTCAAGGACTGAGGCTGCGCAGGCTGCTCAGGCTGCTCAGGCTGCTCAGGCTGCTGCTGCTTCCCCGGCAGCAGCATCCAGGGACTCCTTCCTCCGCGTCAGAGCACACCCACAGAGCATGTAAGAGCTCTCAAGGGACCAGTTGCGCGAGTTGAGGGCAACCACTCCGACCGTTAGCGGAACCCGCCTGGTGCAACGACCTCCCAGGTAGGCGCTCCACTCCTGTCAGAAAGATTCATGTTTGCACACATGGACCACACGGAGCAGAACTCAAAGGCTCCTGTGATCTCTCCTCAATCTCGAAGGCAAGTCGGGTCAAGCCTTTGGCAGCGTAGTTCCCACCTCGGATCGCCCTGCTCTTGCGGTCTCTCATAAAAGCATAACACCTTTGGGGCTGCGTGCTCCTGAGTGGTCGCATCCAGGCGAAGAGGTCGGAGACAGCTTGTCGGCCCTGCGCAGACATCCAGTCTTCTCTTGCTGGCAAGAAAAAAGCTGCGCTCGAAATGCAACACATCTGATGCGCCTGGTCCGCAATCGAAGACGGAGGCTGCATGACACTGACCAGCGCCTCGATTTGGAACGCATCAGATGCGTGGAAAGTCGGACTCTCGCTGCCCCGGGGCCACCTCCCTCGAGACATCCTCAGTTCCGGCGACATCCAGCACCGAGATGCTTGCAGCCAACTGCCGCAGCCATCACAGAGGAGAGCGAAGCAAAGCAAGGGAGGGAGAGAAAGAGGGACATGAGGAGCTGTCTGCAGGAAGCTGCATTCCAGCAAATTTCCGCTCGCCTCGTCAGAAGCCTCGCTGCCGAGGCGCGGCGTCGGCGGCGCCTCTCGCGGCACCACGGCCAAGGTCTCCTTCGCCCACGAGCTCTCGTGCGATATCGAAAAAACAGTTGACCGCTGCCCTGCGACGGTCCTTCGCGGGGGTCTTCGAGGCTGCGCAGCTCGGAAGTGCGAGGACCGCTTTCAGAGTCCTTGGCGGCACCCCACGGAGCTGCAAAGCGGCCGCTCCCACTCCCGCTCGTCTCAGCGGGAGACTTGCCCCTTGGGGTGCCTGTGCCTGGCTTCTGTCATGACAAAAATCACTTGCACAGTCCCCATGAAAGCAGCGCCTCTGGATGTGGTGGACGCGCGCGACCTTGGCAAAGACAATGACATGCGATTGTGCTGAGCTTGCGACTTCACCAAACTTAGCCTCACACGAAGGTCGAGAGGGGCCAGGCGGCACCAGCAACCTGACCCGCGGGAGTTCCTCTTTGCTGCGGATGACTCTGACGTTTCGGACAACGTCGGAAATGCGACCTTCGACCACCGTCTTGAGGAAAGACTGCCTGGAGCTCGGCGACCATCTTGCCTGTCATGCCCACCATCGTCGACACGGGCTAACTAGCGGCCAGATTACCTGCAAGGATGTCCACCTTGAGGGGCTCACGACCGAGTGATTCTCGCCTCAGTTCCACGCTGCGACCGCAGCTCAGCTTCGGACCCCCCCCCCCACGAGGACTAAGCCTAAGCCCTGCACGCTTCGTCTCATGCCTCCTCAGTCCTCCCCAAACTGGCAAGCACAGCCTCCCCAACAGCTCACCAAAGCTCGGAAGCTCGGAAGCGGGGGTGGCCTGCAGCGATCTGCACCGACTCGGCGCCCCCGGGCCGCTGCTAGCCACGTGGCTCTCGCAGAACATCTCTCGGGCCGCAGCTCCGGAACTGCCAAGAGCAGAGCCAGGAGCCCCGTCGCACTTCTGTTTTGTCGCTGTCCCGCGCGCGAGCTCGGCCAACATGTGCAGCGTGAGCAGTTCAGAAGAATTGGCCAAAATCGGACTACCAAGGGCTGCTGTCACTTATGCGAGTGCCTCAACTGGCTCTCAAAGATGTTGGAGCCGCTGAATCGGCAAGATATGCTCCTAGTATCTTCCCCGATCGGCATGATTGCGATGCCCTCACGACAGCATCCCTGCAACAAGAAAAAACGGCGCCGCGCGTAGTATTGACATGGGCCGTTCACCCGACATCCTCTCAGACTAGCCTTGGCTCCGGAACAGGATCCTATTCTGACATCGACTCAGGGCCCCGTGATGCGAAACTGCTTCTCAGGACACCTCAAGAACGGATCCGTTTGGAGCTTCGTCAGCCCGCATCTTCCGAGTCCGCGACTCTTGGTCTGTGGCTTAGGCAGCCTTTCTGCTTGAGCCTGGCAAGGAAGAAGCCACAGTTGCCCTCGTTGCTCTCGTCTGCTGACTAAACAAGAAGTTAAGTTGCGGTATTTTGGTGAAGCACGCCACGGCGTGCCACCGGCGCCAGCTGCAGCGAAGACGACAAGCACGAAGAAGACCTAAAAGCAGGGCCACAAAGCCATCTTCTGTCACGTTTCGGGTATCTTGGTTGCGTGCCCAGAAGATGACGACAGCCACCTCGCCATGGAGGTTTCCGATGCCGAGATCCCAGTACCTGCCGGGACTCTGGGCTTCGGCGATGGAGAATAGACTCGTGCCTAAGAGTGGCATCGCAGCAGCATCCACGACTCAGACTGTGAACGGTGTCCCTGATGAAGCACGCTCGGATATATTTTCAAAACACCGAGAAGCCTAAGAGCGACAAAGAGTAACTCTAAAGGTTGCGCTAGAGCACTTAAAATCACCAATATCTCGACAGCTCCCACAAATCAAGCTTCCTGCTACATCTGACCAGACCCTTGGGGTCTCAAGAACTCAGAGTCGCTAACGTAAAACACATTGACATGCACTGCTAGCTCACTCGCTTTGATCCACTTGGGTATTGGCTTCAGCGGCGCTCGGGATATGGAGTTCAAGTAATTCTAATCCAATATCGTATATGTGTCACAGCGGGCACCAGTGGATTCCGACGCTGGGCGGCTCGCCAGCGAGCGCCGGAGCCGCAGGGGCCAAACTGACGGCACATCCAAAGCTCTTTGGAGTTCGGGGCTTCTGAGTCCAGAGAAAAAACGTGCCGGAGGAACGCAGCAGTTGCAGCAGCCTGGGCAGGAGACGAAAAGCTGTTGGCACTGAGACGGTGCATGGATGCTGCACACTGGCACCAAGGCCAAAGAACTTCCGAAACATTCCTGGGGCGCGGCAGCTCCAAGACCAACACGCTGCGAGGGCGCCGAGAGGAAGGCACTTGGGCAGAGGAGCCTGGCAAGCACAAAAAAAAATGACTACCCAATGGCATGGAATCTGGATGGAAACATGCAAGCGTGGCAGCAAAGAGCAAGCGATCAGGCTAACCGCCTCAGGGCACAATCCTACTTATGATGAGCTCAGGCGATTTGTGTAGGACATAATTTTCACGGCTGCTTTTGAACGGAATCGGCCAACTTCGAGGACTCCCAGAAAAGTAAGCAGGCATCACCGACCAACTCGGTAAAAACGTGAGCCTCTAGTATCCTCTGACTGGCTCCTGCTACATCTGTATGCTGTTTGCATTCGCGTCGACTGAGATATCCACCAGCAGCGGACTCCTCGAGAATGCCTTCAGGCACAGCACGAATGCGATCCGCTGGCTAAAGTAAGACGGATGGCAAAAACTAGGGTCACGTACTCGACTGATGGAACAAACACTGGGGATGTGATGCAAGCTCAGCATCTCGCCATCTTGGAACCAACCGTGGAACCTGTCGTTCAGAAAAAAACTGCCAGTTTGTCAATTGAGAACTGATGAGGTAAAGTGTATGCAGTCACACAGCCGTACACTCGGCAGGTTTACCCTGCCTTCAGTCGGGTACACCCAGGTCCGATGCGAACACTGTCAAGCCAAAACACCACAATTCGCGCACGGACGTCGTAAACGGGATACCCGTCTGCAGTTGTTCCGGATAACCAAAATCTGCTCTACAGCTCCAGAAACACTACGTGGCAGAATGTTTGTCTCTTTTTGTCAAAGAAATGGTGGACTCAGTCGACCGTCGAACAACGCCATTTGTGGCATCTGACGGCTTCTTCTGCCAACATGATCGATTGTTTTTCGGTTTTGCACTTCTTCTCTGCGTGTGGGGACTTCTGCATACAAACTTCGGTTTTTGATTTATGGAAGCATGCGCCCGTTCTACCCAGGTGATGGATCGAAACCGAGCCACGTCAGGTTGCAATGTCATGGCTTAGTGTGCATGCAAACGAATAATTCGGGAAACTGATGTTTCCAATCATCCGGCTACGTAAAGTCGGGTGTGAAAAAATACACAACTTCCGTCTTGCACTACTTGATTTGCCAAATCCTACAGTCCGTGCATGCGACAAACCTTGCACCGCACTGGGACCATCACGTCCTCAAAATCCCAACCCGCGGAGGTGCAGCGGGCCAGCGTTGGAGAGTATGTTCGATGGTTCGGGAACTCTATGTTCGAACCCGGGTTTGTGAACCCTGAACCCTTAACCCTAAACCCTGGAGCGTGGAGTTGCCGAACCCAAGGGGTTGAACATGGAGTTCCTCAAACCTGCGGTTCGAACACAGAGTTCCCGAACCCAGCGTTCGAACATAGAGCTTCCGAACCCGGGTTCGAACATAGAGCTTCCGAACCTGGGGTTCGAAACAAGGCAAAGCGAAGAAAATTGAAATTCAAAACAAACACAGAAAAACATAGTCGAAACAGCATGTGCAACACGAAAGAAGAGAGCCACACGAAATCGCTTTAAGGTGAAAGAACACAAAAAACGAAACCTTGCATGGCAAAACTTTAATCGATCAAAATCGCCACGAAAGAAGGCCAAGTCCACAAGCGAAAATTCGAAACACACCGACAAACACAGACACACACACGAAAAAAACAAATTGAAAAGATGTGGTTTTTCGACAGGAAGCACACAATCGACAAAAAAGCGCCTTCCAGCATAAAAAAGAAGAGGGCTTCAAAATCGCATTGGGGAACAGCGAAGAAAATCAAATGTTGAACATCCAAACTCGAAACAGAAAGCGAGCAAGTTCGAGTCTAGACTCGGCTCTTGCCGCACCAATCCCTGCCACAAATGATGAAAGCCACAAAAACCCACCCAAACCCACTCAACCAAAAAAGTCAAACCCAACCAAACCCACTCCAAACCCACCAAGTTTTTTTTTTTTTGGCTTGACTGGGCCTCGTCGACTACGGCTGTAGCACTCGGTCCCTACAAACAAGCAGACAACAAACTAACAAAACTACAACAAAGCGGTGAAACAGAAAGCGAAGCTCTACGAATGGGCTGCGGCGCACGGGCTTTACCTGTGTTGGCCGTTCAGCGCTGACTACGGAGCCTCAGTGACCGGTCCGGAGCAACAAAGAGCCGTCGCTCTGAGCTGCCCAAAACAACAGGTGGAGCCAAGACAAGCTCCGGCAGCCGTTCTAGTCTCGCCAGACAACGGACAGCCCGTGTTTTGTTCCGTCACGATCGTGCACACCAAAATCCAAAAGTCCAATGCTCCCTGTGGTGGGCGGCTTCCAGACATGATGCGGTGGCCAGAGTCGTGGCAACTCAAAGCCGGCCAGATGCGAACGCACTCCGAAGGACGAAACCAAACGATCCTCACTGTGCAAAACAGTGGCGTCTTGGATGCAAGAGACCGACGGCCACCAATTGCTGCCCACAGCGCGACGGCCGGGCAGGATGTAGACCGTGGGAACAACTTGTTGTGCGTCGAAACCCAGCGCAGCGCAAGCTAAGGCAGCTAAGGATCGCCCTAAAGTCCCGGTAGCGGGTCGTCCAAGTAGAGCGTGCACACCGGGCCCAGGGGCCCAAGCAGTGGTTGTAGCTCCCCTCAGGAGCAGCATGGAGGGAGAGAACCTCAACGACGTATGTCGTCGGTTTCAGCGGCTTCCACATCTTTGCCGGTCAGAGACGACCCGACCAACCTTGGGGTCCGTCACCACCAGACAACGTAATTGCAAAGCCAAGTGCACTGGCAATGAAGCAGCACCAGCTGTGTTCAGGGACAACTGTTGTGCGCCGCAACCACAAAAAAAGCGCAGCCAAGGCCCCCTCCCATCCCCCACTGCAAAGGCAAGCAGCGGCCATAAGCAGCCAGTGCGAAAGTGCTCACCAACCCAAACAAGACTCCGGCGGTCGTCATGCCAGAACAAGAGCAGCAAAGATAATGAATGAACCCGTATGTCGTCACCGCGGCATCACCTGGAGACTCCTCCAAGGGTGAAGCGACGTGCCGCACGAGGTCCGTCACCACTTAGCTATACCAGACCATTGCCAGGCCTCCTCCAGTGTTGGAATGCTCCAGACAGTATGGTCCTTTGCGTCCGCTGTGCCTGCCCAAGGCAGTGCTTGCTGTCAGCGCTCGCGCATTGGTGTCGTCTTTGTTACAGAGCCTTCCACGCAGGGAGGGTTCTCTGCTTTACTAGGAACCAGGCCGACTTCATCCGGGAGTTGCATTTTGCCGCAACACATGCACGGGACTTGGGAGGCCTATGTTGGACCCTTGTGATGGCGAAGGAGGCGGAAGCGGCTTGCTACTGTCTCCGACGGTGTTGGCGGTGTGGGCCGCAAGGTTGTTCCACTCCTGCTGTCGAAGCTTGCGCACCTGGTGACGCTTTGGTGCGCAGACACGACACAGCGGAGATGTTGTCACTGCTTGGGCGCACCTGGGGAGCGGTCTTGCATTGCAGCTGCCTCACTGGCACCCAAATGTCCAGGTTTGCTTCAACGCGAGCATGAAGACAGCGGCACGAAGAAGTCTTGGATGGACCAAAGGCCCATGAACAGTGTACAAATTCCATTTTTTTCGCCTTGAGCTCGAGCCACTGCAGGGTGTGCAGCCTGCCGGGACCCTGCCTCTTCATGGCCAAAACGCTTCCCCGTGGCCTGGCATTTGTGCACGGCTACAGAGCCCACGGCAAGGCCCCGCTGGCACAGCTGGGCTGGAGCGTCTCCTTTGCCCACCCTCGCGGAGACACGTCTCAGACCACGAGCTTGCATTCTACTTACCGCGCGGTCAAAGACTTTGATATGGCGCATGCAGAAGAGAATGAACGTCTGGGGAGTGGCTGCCCCTCGCCATCTTCTGAGATGCGCATTGAGTGCTCTGGCGCCAGTTCGTTTTGCACTCCGGCTTGCAACGACGCTTGGCAGCTTATGTGTTCCACCCAGTGCTACGACTCCACGGGGTGCCTTGCGGAGACATGCTCCAAGCTGTCGGCGACGGCTGAGAACCGCAGGTCTGGAGTCCAAACCATTGACAGCTTCAGCGAGCACGCCGCAGCTCTTACTTGCAGGATCCACACTCCGTCTGGCGGCTCTGTGCATTGCCTTATCAAGCATCGGCTCCGCGCCGCCTACCGCCGTGGCTTGGCAGGCAGCTTACACGGCAGGTCTGGTGGGAGTGCTTCTTTGCAAATTATGGGGCGACAGCCACTTCCCACCAGTGGGTCTGCCCGCCGCCGTGGTAGCTGATGTTGCGACGCCAGCAGTCGTAGATTAGGGCCGTTGGCATGCCAGATTGGCTCTTCGCGAACTTCTGAGCCTCCCGTGTCGGTTGCGCATCATCCCTGCCAGCGAAGACTTGTGCTCTTGGGTGTCTACCGAGTTTGCACGGCCCGCCATACGAGCCGCCCAGGTTGTAGGAGGTATGTGCGTTGGACCTTTAGGGTCTATGTGAAGTTCTTCTCTCCTTTCCCTACCAAAAACCAACACTGCAGGGGGGCGGAGAGAACAGGAGTATGTGCCGGGTCAGTTTGACAGTAGGATTCAGAGAGTAGAAGTAGAAGACTTGGACAGGTAGTCTAGATGTAGACGTAAGAAAGCTGGAATAAGCATCAAACAGTAAATCTATAGTGGAGGGAATTGGGAGAACTAGCATTCTAAGACATGTAGGAGGGAGTAGGAGTAAGAACAGGAGTTGCAGTAGAAGTCGCCCTCAGAGGAGGTGCATGGAGGGTAAGGAATAGGAAACTCAATTGAGAGAGTAGGAATAAAACAAGAGGACAACTAGTCTAGAAGTGGACATGATGAGGGAGCTGGAATGAGACTAAGAGAATGAACGTAGCAGGTTTCAAACAGGAGGACAGGGGACGGAGAGAGCAGGAGTATGTGCAGGGTCAGTTTGACATTAGGAGTCGGAGGACAGGAATATGCGAACAAAAAACGGGGAGTTCGACTAGTTGAAAAGGAGCCACACATTTGGAGTAGGAGAGGAGGAAGGCAAGAGTAAAGATTAGCAGAAAAGGAGTAAAAGAGACGTACCAGGAGAAGGCGAATAGGAGAGTGGGAGTAAAATGATGGCATCTTACCAGCCTGTTATGCTAGTCTACTAATCTCCCAATCTTGTACTCCTATCCACCTACCCCTAGTCTCCGATTATTACACTTACTTTCCTGCTCTGCCTCTCTAATTAACCCACTATTTCTCTGTTGGAAAATCTACTTTCGATGCCTTGACAACATCATTTCTCTTACACTATTTCTCCTATCCCTAGTGTCGAATTCATCCTACCCCTAGGCAGCAATAGAGGAATAGGACTCGGAACATACAGGTAATGGGGTGGGAATATGATGGGGATCGGAGTCTGCGCTTTGCTTTGTTCAATCCCATCATGTCACTCCACCTTTCTGCACTTTGTTCGCTTACTCTCCTACTCCTACCCTCTCGTTCCTCTACTTCTACCTTCCTGTATTGGT